TGCTCTTACCACTTTTTCCCCCCATATTATACAGGAACTTCTGGCCCATGAAGTCAGGCAAGAATATGTAAAGGGCATCCAGGTTAGAAAAGAAGAAAAAGAAGTCTTTTTTTGTAGATGGCATGATTGTTTATGTGAGACACAGGGAACTGACAATCTGTTTTGTATGGCTTCAAAGAATGAAGAATGGCTTTTACATTTTTGTATAGTTGTAAATAATAACAACAATGAAAGAAGAATCTGCAACAGAGACTTTATGTGGCCCATAAAGCCTAAAATTTTACTATCTGGCCCTTTAGAGAAAATGTTTGCCAATCCCTGGTCTGTGTAGAAAATCTACATAGAAAATTTATGCAGAATCTCCACAAGCCTACTAGATCAAATAAGTGAATTTAGCAAGGTCGTGAGATATAAGATTAATACACAAAATCAATTAAACTTCTACATAATGACAATGAACAATTAGAAATTGAAATTTTAAAAATTCCACTTAGAGTAGCATCAAAAACATTTACATAGGGGTAAATCTGACAAAAGATGTAAAAACCCTATGTGATAAAAATTACATAATATTGCTGAGAAATAAATAACACGAAAATAACGGAGAGAAATTTCTTCTTTATGAGTCAGACGACAATAATGTTACGATGTCAATTTTCTCTTAATTCAATGCCATCTCAAAATCTCAGAAAGCATTTCCTGTAGAAATTAACAAACTGGTTTAAAAATTCTTATGGCAATGTACAAAACTAGAATAGCCAAAATAATTAAAAAAAGAAAAAGGTAGGAAAATGTATACTACCTAACTTTAAGGCTTACTATAACAATATAGTAATTAAGACAATGTGGTACTGGTGTAAACACAGACAAACAGAATAATGGAACAAAGCAGATATAGTCAACTAAATTTTTTCCCCAAATTACAAAAGAGATTCAGTGGGGAAAGGGTATATTTCAACAAATGATGCTCAGATGCCCCCTAGGATCATAAACAAAAATTGACGCAAAATCATTCACAGACTTAAATGCAGAACCAAAAAGTTATAAAACTTCCATACTAAAACATGGAAAATCCTTGTGATTGTGTATTAGGCAAATATTTCTTGGACATAAGCCCATTTAAAAAAGAAAAAGATAAATAGAACTTCATCAACATCAACTTTGGGGGGAAGTCATTATCTTGATCTAATAATGGCTTCTGGGTATTCATATATACATTAAAATTTTTCAAACTGACCTTCTAAACATGTGCATGTGTCATTTATAAAGCTATCACATGTTTTAAGTTAAATAGAAATGAAATAGGGAAAACATTTGAGATATATATATGTATATATGTATATACATATGTGTGTAGTTATATATATGTATATATGTATATACATATGTGTGTAGATATATATATATACATATATATATATATATGTATATATGTATATACATATGTGTGTAGATATATATATATACATATATATATATATATGTATATATATATAATATTAGAGTTAAAAATCTAACTTGCTGGAATCCTTAAGTAATTTTTACATTTCTTTCTCACTTTAAAGGATAAATGCAAATAACAGGAAAAAGCCAATCAGAAGCAAGTCTATATATAACTCCATATTTGGTATCATCACATAGTCACTCATACGTACTAGTGCTAACTAAGTAATTTAATAGCATATCACCAACAGACTATCCCCAGCACTCCAGGGAGTATCTGGAGTGTGAGAAAAGTACACAAGACCACAAAGTTGCATAAAGAGTTTTAATTAACAGAAAATATTACAGTTCAATCAAACATTAAGTATGTGGACTGCATTACTGTGAGAATTACTGGGTGATCTTAGCCTCTGAAGTCCCTTTACCTGACTCAAAAGTGTTAGTGATATTTTTCTTTTCCTGTGCCAGGCTTCAAGGTTCATCTTCCACACTCTCTGCAGTGCCACTTCATGTGCTGAGTCTAGGAGGCTGCCAAGACAACCTTTTCCTTCCACCCAACTTGAACTGCTCCTCCCTCTCTCTGTTGGACCCACTTCTGGTTGTATTTTTTGCAATCTCTTCAATTTCCTGCCTTCCAGAAAGTTACAGGTCATAATGTAGCTTTCACCTGCCTGGTATAGATATTTGCAAAACAAATCCAACATTATAATGGGGAAGGGAGCTTAATGCCTTTTATAGGTGCTCATCATCTTTCTATCTGATCACTTTTTCTGCTCATCTTGCTCAGTGAAGTTTTGCTCATCTTGCTCAGAAGTTTTTCCTGCAACTTCTTTCCCTCCTTGTATGACTTTCCTGTGTTATGGTTTTGTTATAATTAGCAAATAACCTTGGTACATCCCTTAGACTTCTCACACTTTCAGCAGAATTGCCAACAGATCTGCATCCACGTTCACAAGGCTTTGTAACGATGCAAGACCGTGGGCTGATGCTTTTGAGAAGGTTTGTGTAAAATCATAAAGAGGATAAGGATTATATTATTATTATATTATAATATATATTATATTATATTATATTATATTATATTATATTATATTATATTATATTATATTATATTATATTATATTATTCCTCTCATGCTGCATTTACCAGAACAGGAGATTTCTCAGGGTGTATAGAAGAGTCTTACCTGGAAAGGCTGTAACTCCAGGATTATTTTTCAACATAATTGAGTCAGGAAGTCCTTGTTGACCGCTTAACAGTATTTAAACACAAACCGTTTGGAAACTCCCTCTTCCTCTGGCTTCTAGAACTCCTAGACAACCTGTTAACTTCTTGAAGTTATCTTAACAGCTCTTCTTCCTACCTATATGCTCTGTGAATGCAAATGTAGACATTTCCCCAGCTTCTCTAAACTCTCTGCCAAAAACAACTTATTCACCCTCACTTGCGACTTAATTACCTCTTACTGATAATCCCGATCTTCCCTTCTCTCCTGCCTCTACACTTGCACTGTCCAATAAGAAAGCCACTAGTCACTAGTGAGACCTTGAAATGTGGCCAGTCCCCCTTGAGATGTATCATAAGTATAAAACACAAATACAAGAAAAAAATAATATTGATTAAATGTTGAAGAATATTTTGGATATATTGGGTTAAATAAAATATATTACTAAAAGTAATTTCATTTGTTTCTTTTTATCTTTTCTGAAATTCTAGCTCCTAGAAAATTTAGTATTACATATGTGGCTTGCATTACATTTCCACTGAACAGCGCTGCTCTAGACCTGAAATTCAAACTGACCATTTAAATTGAACACAGTAGAAGCTGATACCAATCTATTCCAGACCCTCAAGTCTGTTAACTGTTATTATGGAATAAACATCAGTTGGCATGAGACACATAGCTTGTATAACATCAGCTGCTGCTGTTAAGGAAATTGTATGATGAAGGAACTAACTCTAGGATAAATAACTTATGAACTGGGTGACAGGATGACTCTGGTAATTGTCAAAGAGCCTGTCAGCATCACTCATGGACAGCTATGGCAGGAATGTATGTAGGACTGGGAAATAACACTATATGCTTTTGACTAGAAAGGTACAGCAGTTATGAATGAAAACAACCAGGGATTTGCCAAAATAGTGGATAAAGTGTATATGCATTTGGAGTCAGAAATGTGAGCAGTTACACATTGTGACATATTCACCTCAGGTACTGTAACCACCTAAATGTGCCAAATATTTTCTTACATGATCTTGGCTAATAGAATCTTCCTCTTCACTTGGCCTAAAACCTGGAGTCATTTTTGGCTCAACCCTTTCCTTTATTCCCCATAGCCAAGCACCAAACCCCATTTATTCTACCAACACCCACTTGCCACATCCACATTTTTTTCCTCCTTAAAGAAAACCAGAGAAGGGAGACACAGGTCCATATGCTGCCCCCACGGTCCCAAGAGGGAGAGCTCATGATTTGGCCTGCCGCTATATGGTGACAAGTAACTTACAAAAAAACAACGTCCCGTTCTTTTCTCCAATAGAAATAGCTGGTAGTTAGGAATGCAAATAGGTGAGATGGACAGGCCCTCAAGATACCTTAAGATGACACAGGAAAGGGTTTTAGAGCAGAACAAACCCTATTTTCTTTCTTTGCTTCTCTCTTTCCTGTCCCTTCCCCCTAATTATTTTTATTGCCTTCTTTTTCTAATACATGTAAGCTGTGTGGGTCGGTGAACACAGTTTCATTACTTTACATAGCAGAATACAATTCCTAAGTGATTTTGGATTATCTCTTGACTTGCGTTAAGAGGAAATAACTCAGAATTGCATGTGCGGCTGGCATTTATGTCAATTAAACTTAAACCTTATTGAATTTTAAGACTTTGAGTAGCCTAGAAATTCTCTTCTTAAACGAACTGGCAATTGTCTAAGCATATGTACCAGGGTACTTAATGTTTATAGTTTCATTGTTTTTAAAGACTCTACTGATGGCATGTTAGGTTGTGCAAGTCCTGTTCAATAACAGAATGCATGGATATATAAAGTCTATGTGCAGAAGCTCTCCTACCTGTGTATAGATTGATTATAGGCAAAGAAAATTTGATGCACAGATTTTTTTTCGAAAAAATCTGTCTTTGAAATGGTACTTTGCTGTCACAGTTAAGACCGTCAAACTATAGTCTAGTTGTTTCAGTCAGCTCCTTTGCTATTGAGTTCATGCCAGTATTTTATTTAAGTGCTAAGTAAATAATATATTAAGTGGAATTATGAGTGCCACTAATTATTAATGTGCTATACATTTCCTTAATCAAATTCAAATTATAGAGCAATTACTAAACTGAGATGTTTTATAATCTTTGATTTAGAAACATTCGATCTCTAACTTTCCTGCAGCATAAACCATACTAACACATGGTTCAGCTGCAGCCATGATCCAACACATGGGCAGTTTTGTGTGTCCAAATATCCCCCATCAGTTAAACCCTATTGTTACATAAGTTTCTTTCCAGCCTCTGTACACCTGCATTGGACTAAACCACAAAGTCAATCAACTGTACCTTTACTGCGCCATTCTCGTGGATGGTGACACAGTTGTCAGCATCTTCTGAGAGTTGGTACAAGGCTTGAGCTGTTGCTCGATGCACATTGGGGTCATCTGATTTCAGGTAATGCACTAATGGAGCCACTGCTTTGTACTCGCCAAAGGCCACTCTATTTCTGCCCCACATACAGCAATGTGAAATAGCTTCTGCTAGATGACGCCTCAGTTTATCATTATTCTGCACAAAGGAAATGAATTGTGGTACATGCATTGCAAAGAACCCGTGAGGTCATGTTTCTGTGCTACCTGTTTATTATCCAATAAAATGCCAGTGAGTCAAGGGAGAAGGGCTAAGTGGCTATTCAGGTGGTGTCTTGAAAGAAATAAGTATTTTGGTGGCCCCGATGGACCAACGTTCAATCCTGAATTTTCTTCTTATGACTTTAAAAAATGTTTAACTTTTTTTAATTGACTACTGAACATAGTTAATACACTCAAAAGCAATCAAGTGCCTGGCATTTGTTATTTGCTCAAGGTTTGATTTCCTTTTGAGCAAGTGCTTTAATAAAAAAAGAGAAGTAGTTAAAGAATACTGGACATTCTTAAGGGAGCATTTCATTTAACTGGCATAGGTAGATTCACCCTATACATTCACCCTAGGAATACTTCTACATCAGTAATATACCTTGGTTTCCTAGAGGGAAAAGACAGTGCAGCAAACAATGATATGTTTGAGTCTGCCATTTTCCTTTCTATATCCTTTATACACACTATATCCTTTGTTTTGTATGTAATTAACTGCAATAGGTATAATATAACCAAATAGGATACAGTTTTCTGCTTAATAATTGTACTATTCTCTTGATTGAGGCAACAACTTGGTGTCCTTAACTGAATCTGGCAGTTATTCTTAGGAACTCAGAATTAGACTAAAAAGTCTTCTAAACCAAGCATCCTTCCAGTGATTGAATTTCTGCTCTACGACTTTCCTGCCAAGAGGTAGCCCAAGCTATGCTCAAATACCTCTGATCGTGGTGAAGTCATTATCTCTCAAGGCTGCTTATTCTATCTGGCACAGCTCTGAATAAATAATACAGTGGTTGCCAAAGTCTTCTAGTTCAAGAATGCCATCAATCCAAGCTTGCTAAGCCTGGGGAAGAGCATTTAACTTGTAATGTTGGCATGAACAATCATCTTAAGGATAATGAATGATAATGATGGTGGTGATGGAAAATGATAGTTAACACTTCTATAATAACACTTATATTTGGCACTACTTTACTTGCCAGTGACAAATAAAAAACAGCCTATATTTTACAAGGATCTTGCATATTAAATTGTACAGTTAGAACACACTTTCACATTGATCAGTCTCGGAGACATTAAATTAGTTGACCAAAATCTCATACCTCATAGGTGATGGATATTAAGCTTGAATCCAGGTCTCCGGACTCTAAGTTTATGGTTTCTACCACTACTCCATGATATCTTAAGACCATATACATTTAAAATAAAAGGATGTGTTACTTACTGTATTTGCTAGTTTGGACAATAAAGGGACAACTCCACGATCTGTAATAACAGCCAAATTTTCTTGATCTTTTGCTATATTTGTAATAGCAGCACATACACTTGCCAAAACTTCTTTATTATCTGATTTCAGTAAATTGACGACAAGTTCCAAACCACCAACAAAGGAACGGACCATTTCTCCAGCATCCTAGAGAACAATTAAAAACAAAAGATGTTATCAAAAATAATCTTTTGATTAGCATTTTTTTAAAAAAAGCAGAAAGTAAGGATAAGGCTATTAAGTACACCTTTGGCATAAAAAATTCAATTTATTTATTATACATAATTTCTATGTATGTTTGCATATGTACATAACCACACGATTCAACTTCAACAAATATTTATTGAATAACTATTATGTGAGAGTTACCATGCTAACTACTGGGAACACAGAAGTTAGTAAAATACAGCTTATTCTTATTTGCAGTAGTTATGCTTTATGAAGTCATCACAAAAATTGAGTTAGTAAATACTGAACCATTGTTTCTAGGGGGAATGCAGTGTTAGGTTAACAGATCAATACATCACTGATCAATAGATAACCTTGTTTTATGGGTTTTTCCACTTAGGCTATCTTATTTCATATATTGTTAATTCATCAACTCATGGACACCTGAACTCATGGTGAGTCCATGGCTGAACTCATGGACACCACCACACTATAAGTCATGCCTGAAGGAAGCTTATCTAACACATGAATTTTCTCTGAAAGGCACAGCCTTCTTGGGTTTAGGAACACTAGAGAGCACTGGGTGCCACACACAGGGGCCATGTTAAATAGTGAAATCACCAACAAAACCCACAACGATGTGAAAAATATGGCACTAAGTAGACAATATAATTGATGCTTGTTAACAGTATGGGAGCTAACAACAAAAAGGCGGAGAGTCATCTTGTTCAACCTCAGCTGAGAACGTGCATTTTGGGCAACTCAAAATTTTCACCTCGCCGTGCACGTCCAAGAATGACCATGGAAGTGCTGTGAGTATTGATTTCAGGATTACAAAAATTTTAGCAAGAGGGTGAAAATTCCCAAACAGACTTTGTGAAGAATGTAGATTGACTGTGCATACTCTTTTGCCATCATGTTGCTTGCCATCCAGTGGGGAAGAGTGGCATTAGGAGATAAGTGTAATGAACAGCACTAAGAGGAAAGAGGTAAAAATACTACAAGACACACAACAAGGGAGGCATTCAAGGACGTACCCCGCCCCAAGAGAATGTTGGTAAACTAAAGTCTAAAAGATAAGGAGTTATCCAGGATGGAGGGGATTCAGGATGGAGGAATAATCATGAAACAGACCTGAGAATGAGAGAGGAGGCACTTTTTTTTTTTTTTCTTCTTCAGTGTAGTGTAGCTAGAGCATAAGTATGAAAGGGAGAATGGGAGAAAATGATACTTCCTGAGATCTTGAAGGCTCTTTACTGTTAGCCTTGGCAGAGAGTATAGAGATCATTTTAAGGGCATGAGAAAGCCACTGAAAAGGTTTAAGTGTGTGTCTTGGGGGGGAAGAGTGGGGAAGGGCATTTTATCAATTTTGTATCACAATAGCTCTCTCAGGATTGCAGAGTTGAGGTTGGGGCAAAGAATGTGCTGGGGACTCAGAGGCTATTTCATTAAGGTCACTTAAGAGGTGGTGGCAGTTTGGATGCAGGTTATGGTCTGGACCTGGAGAAAGGGGTGTGGGTTGGTGAGCACCAACTGGAGACGATGAGGACCAGTGATCTGATGGTGATGCCCATGTTTCTGGTTTGACCCCATGGTTCTCATGTTGGAAAGGCAGGGTGTTGTTTTCTGTTCTTACGGTGAGAAAGGATGGTATTTGATATTAGGAGGCCTAATTTGAATGAAATGCCTACAAGACATTTAAGCTGAGACATCCAGAAGTCAGTTGCATATATGCCTTTGGAGCTCAGGAAAGAAAACCAGGCTTGTGTCATAGACTTGGAAGTTGTCAGTATGGAGACCGTAACTGAAATAATGCATGTGAGAGATGGTGAGTGAGGGAGAAGTGGGTTCTCTGTGTCAGTGCTGCAAGTGTGGGTGGGAAAAGAATTTGTCAGAGGAACCTGAAAACGTATGGTTGCCCAGAAATCCTCACCTCCCTAATGTATGGTGGTGGCTGTGTGATGTCCAATTATTTGGCTCCGGGGCTTTCTCAAGAACTTAATACCTTTTTTTTTCTTGGTGCAGAAGGTGATTTTATTAAAGCATGGGGACAGGAACCATGGGCAGAAAGAGCTGTACTGGAGTTGTGTGTGTGTGTGGCTGGGGCGGCGGGGGGGGGGGGGGGGGGGGGGGGGGGGGGGGGGGGGGGGTTCTATGGAGTTGGGGAGATAAAGTCAAGAAGGAGTTTCCAAAGAGAAATTAATACCTTCTAAGTGCCAATCATGCATCAGGCACTTTGCATACATTATCTGAGTTAAACCACACAATAACCACACAGAACAGATATTATTTCCATTTTAGATTTTAAAGACTGAGGTTTCAAAGATGTTGAACACCATAAACTAGACTGTGTCCCTCCAGGGGCTGTGTTCTAGTAATCTTAATGAACTTTATAATCATAAATCTGAACATCTCATTCCCCTATCTCCCCAATTCTTTGATTGCCCTTAGGCAATTCTTCTTGCCCTTAGGATAAAAAACAAACTCCACATGTGGTTTACAAGCTTTTCATGGTGTGTGTGCCCCTGGCTTTCCTGCCTCACCTCTCTGCCTTGATCCCCTCTTCCAACCCCCTACACATGAGCCCTAAGCCAGTCCCACCCCAACTCCCCACCCGTATCCCCTGGCCCAGGAGTTAATAATCAGAATTCTGACACTCACTCTCTGAGAATGTGGCTCATTAAGTCTGGGATGGGGCCTATGAATTTTTTTTTTTTAATCTCTCTTGTGAGTCTGAACTTCAGCCAATATTAGGAACATCAGTCTTTCAAGTTCATGTCCTCAAACGTGCCACTTGCATGTCTCTGTATCTTTGCCCATGGCTTTTTTGTCTATTTCCCCACTAGCTTGGGACTTTCCACATAGCCTTGGCTACCAACTAAGGTAATGTTCTCTTTAGGGAGGCTTTCCTGAACTGTGAGTCTGGATTAAGTTTCTCTTACTATAACACCTGGTTCTTCCATGTTATAGCATTTACTACTCTCTGCAGGAGTGACTTAAATTTATTTGCCTTTGTTTATTGTTGTATGCCGAGTTTTTGTGAAAGTTTCTGGCAAGTTTCTAGAAACCCCTTTGAATGAACTTGCAAACTCATAGCTACAAAAGGAAGCTTTTTCTGAGGACATAATGAACCAAACTAAACTTCTAGGGAATGGTGAAGGCAGGACCCCCTCAGGTTCTTCCCAAGTGTAAGTGGAAAGTATCTTTTCCACAACACGCTGCCTCTCCTGCCTGCTATGGGGACCGTGTAAACACTATTAGTGGCTTTGTTCTCAATACCACATGTAAATACAGGACACACTTTCACATTCTGATGCGTTAATAAAATTACTTACAAAATATTTGCCATTTTCCCTAAAATTCTACGGTAAAGCTTGTTATATAAAACAAATGATTATACTTTCAACTGAATTCTACACTGTCACCTCATTACACTTATGTGCACTAAGGCACAATCAAATCAAAAGACTGTAAAAGCTAATTTATTAACCTTTGGTCAAATATCCCACATAAATTAATCCAGGTTGCCATTTGAAGCACTTAGTAGTGGTAGTTGCTGTAGTGCTATTTCCATGTTGTAGGTGAGGAAAACCTTAGAGAAATAAATTAGTATGTGCAAAGTACAAGAAGGATACACGGCAGAGTGGGATCTGAATCCATGTCTGCCTGGCCCCGAAGCCACTCTACAATACTGCAGTCATTGGTCCAAATGAAATAAATTCATAATCTTAATCACGTACTTGGTCTGGATGCATGAGTAAACTCAAAAGCAAAAACAATGGCTCTTAGAATTGCAGGGAACTTCCAAAGTGCAGCCCCCAAACTCCACTTTTTTAAGTGATGTTATGTGTGTCAATTAAGCTAATATATTAGTCAATTATGAAACTACAGAACGATTTTTCTTTCTCAAGAAAGACTGAAGGAATTCTGGGAAGATGATGGTGGCATAGTTTTTGAGTTTCTCTCAGAAAACAGAGACACTAGTGGCAGCAAAACAAAAAGCACAGAAATGCTAGATGAAAAGATATCGTCACAGACCCCCAAATATAAGCAGATCGGGGCAAACTACTGAAATTACAAAGCCCACATGTTCTAAGAAACCAGAAATCTGCAGAAAGAGGGACTTGTAAAGGCCCTAGAACCAGGGAGCCCACACTGATTAATGAATAAGACCAAAATGCCCCCAGGTCTGATGGTGCTGGAGCATTCTGTGGTCTGAATCCTTTGAACTCGTTATACTACAAACTGAAGGTTCCTTCTAGGTTGAAGCCTGCACTGAGGAGAAACTGGTGGGAGCTGCATACAAATAGAGCACGGCAGGGACAGAGGGATGAAGGAATGATAGAGTCCAGGTAAAAAGAGAGGAGGGGAACAAAGCAGTCTGAGTCTGCTCTCCATCACTGGGAAAGTAACAGAAATGGGATCTTGAGGACCATGAAATTAGAAGTGCCACCCTGGTCCACATCTCCCTCTCAAAACACCACGAAAACTCACTGCACTTAAAAATGAGCCAAACAAAAAGACTATGGTCAATTTGCATACAGAATTACTAGAAGAAAAGGAATGAGCTGAAAGAACATTACAGAAGCAATGAAAGGAAAATGTTAATTAGAATTATCAAAGCTTATAAATTGGGTGATTAGTAAAAAAAACAATTGTTAAGGGCAGGTGAAACCCATCTACAAAGAATTGGACATGAAAGCAGAATTCATTTTGAAAATGAAGAGTAAACCAGAAGGAACATAAAAATGAATAAATATAATGGGTAATACTTTTAAATAAATAGAGTATGTGGAGAGTCCAAGGTGACAGAGGTTGGGGGAGGGGGGCACCTGGGTGGCTCAGTCGGTTAAGCATCCAACTCTTGGTTTCAGCTCAGGTCATGATCCCACAGGTTCATGAGTTTGAGCCCTGCTTTGGGCTCTGTGCTGCCAGTGTGAGACCTACTTGAGATTCTCTCCCTCTCCTTCTCTCTCTGC